CCACAGCACAGCTCCGCCGGGGGCAGAGTTAAGGGGATTTGCTGCCTCGCTGCCAGCGGGGCTGCTCCCAGCATCACCTCGCCCCAGGTCCATCCCGAATTCCCAAAGTCATCCAGAGCCCGCAGTGCGGCACGGTGGAGGCGGACACAACCACCAAGCACCCCGAGCACCCACAGCTTCGACACCACTTTCAAGTCCCTCTTCTCCAGCGACAAACCTTTTCTAGGGGATGTTTCCAACCAGAGCAGCTGCAGCGGCAAATAAACCGAGTCCGGCACAACCCGAGCAGCTCCCTCGGATCCTGGGGCTGCTGCATCTTCCCCTGCACCCCCTTTGCTCTAACGCTCCCCCCGAGCAGAGCTCACCCCATGGCTCGCTGCTGGCCCAGCCCAGATTATTACACAATTGCATACGATGTGCACTCATGTATAGGTAAAGCCATCACGTCCCTGCAGCTTTTTCCGGGACCTTCTGGCCCTGCTGTCCCTGTCCCAGGCTGGAGGGACGTGTCGAGTGAAAACACCGGCTTGCAGCTCAGTGGAAGATGCTCTTTACTCAACACCCCCCCCGAGCCGGGGCAGAGCGGGCACGTCCAGGCATCCCTGGGGAGGGGAAAAGGCAGGGTGGCAGGGGCAGCATGGGGGGGGCACCAGGGGGTCTCTTCCTTCACTGCAACGCATCAGAGCCCCGGGGATCCTTGCAGATGCCAAAGTCGCTGTTGGTGATGGAGCCCACGATGGACTTGTCAGCATCGCAGGTCAAGCCGCTCTCGCAGGGACACTTGTAGTAGACCCCATAGATGCTCTGTGGGGAACCAAGGCACAGTGTAGCACGGGGGACATGCCCCTGTCCCCGGCCATCCCTGGGAGCAGGGGAGCACGTACCTTTGGGGAGCACTCCTGCAACTCGGCCGCCTTCGGTGCACATCGGGCCAGGCTCAGGCCGCTGCCCCGGTGGCAGCAGCCGCTCTTGCACTGGGCACTCTGCAGGCACAGCTCCCCGGTGTCCTGCATGGCGAGGCAGGGCGTGAGCATCAGGTCCCTCTCTGGGACCCCTTAATCCCCCCCAGCTGTGGGCCCGAGGGGTTTGGATGGGTGTCAGACACCAGCTCTGCCTTTCGGCTGGGGCTCAGCACCGCTGCCAGCATGCCCGAGCCTCCCACCCTGCAGGATTTTCTCGGTCTGGCTCAAAATACCACCCACTGAAGTGCTGTTTTCTGCTGGGCTCACGGGAATAGGGCTGAGACACCACAGGGAGAGCGTCCCCCTTTCCCGTTCCCTGTGAGCCCCCCCAGGGAGGGGGTCCTGGCTGGCACAGGCAGCCAAGAGGTTCAGTCCCATCCACTTTCAGGCTTCCCTGACCCTTTACCCAGCTGCTTTCCCGGGCTCCGAGATCCCTCACAACCCCAGAAAACCCAGTATCCCATCCCCACCTGCCTCAGTTTCCCCAGCTGCAATAAGTTTTGCTTTCGGCGGCTGCAGCCATCACCCCAGGGCTCCCCCATATAGCTGCTGCGAGACCAAAGCACCGCGGACCCCTCCAACCCCCCGATGCACCACGTGCCCCATTGCAGCACACGGGGCTGTGTCCCAGCTGTCTGCTGCCAGAGACCAAAGCACCGCGGACCCCTCCAACCCCCCGATGCACCACGTGCCCCATTGCAGCACCCGGGGCTGTGTCCCAGCTGTGGCAAGGACGGGGCTAGTGTCCCTCTTACCAAGTTGAAGATGAGCCCTCGCTCATGTGGCGCTGGCAGGGCCGGGACCAGGAGCAGCAGGGCCAGGAGCAGGCAGGGGGGCAGCACGTTGGCCATGGTGGGCTCGCTCATGCCTCTGCCACAGGGCCGGCGGGTGCTTTATAGCAGGCGTCTCCATCAGCTGATGTGGCTGCTCCTATCACACCCCAACTCGTGGCATTGGGGCAGCGCCACGACGCCCTGCCTGGGGCAGGAAAACAGCGATGCCCGTGCTGCCAGGCAGTGCCACGATGGGGACATCTCGCCCTGTCCCCAGGTGACCGTCCCACACCGGCGATGCCAACCTGCCCTTTCGCAGCTCCTTTGGCCGAAGCGAACGCAAAGTAATGGCACTCCTGCGCTTCCCCTGGGGGGGATTTCCAGTCCTCCCTCCTCTCCTTCACCCTGGCTGCAGGGAGTCGTGGAGCTGGGGTTCTCCAAGATGCTCTCCTTGCCGGGTGCTGCTGATGGGTTCATAGACAAAGCGAGAGCCGGCGCCATGGCAGGAGCTCCGCTCCATGGGAAAGCACCCACCCCCAGATCCTCCATCGCTCGGACGTTATGCTCACAGGAGCCAAGAAACCTGCTTGAGAAAGCCCAAAGGTGTGGCAGGAGTGAGCCCACCCCCCTGCTAGCATCCCACCGGCCTCGCTTGGTGCTCCAAAGCCTGCCCATGTCCCCATGTCCCCATCCCGCCGGCCACCACCGCACCCTGCCCTGCCAGATATTTGCTCTCAGTGTTTCAGCGCTTGGCTGATGAAAGGAAAACAGCCCTGGGAATGGCACAGCTTTTCACACCCGTGTTGGCCCGGCTGCTCTCGGCAATGATTAACACCCAGGCAGCCCTGGCCTTCGGCGGCCGCAGGGGTGACACTGAGGCTGGCACTGGCTGTGGGGTGGCTGTCACGCTGGCACGTGGCACCTGGACCCCACAGCAGGAGCTGAGCCGCTGCGGTCCCTCGGGATGCGGGGCAGAAGTGGCTCCTGGAGAAAGGTCCCAAGGTGGCCACAAGTGCCCTCGGCCCGTTGGGGCAGGCTCCGGGGCCACCCACGCTCTTCTGGCAGCAGGACACAGACACCAGGCAGAGACCTGGCCCTGCCCCAGGTGCTGGCTGACGCCCCGGGGTGTCCTGGCAGCAGGATGAGCCCTTTCCCTTTCTGCAGCGGGGCTGTGGGGACGGTCCCCTCCCTGCCTGCAGGCCCAGCCAGCCCTAGAGCTGACGGGGGGGGAGGTCCAGGGACCCGCAGCCCCCTGCTCCAATGATGCAGCACCCCATGCACCCCCCTCCAGTGGGAGAAGACCCTGGTGACACCAGCTGGGAGGGCAGAGGGGGAGCAGCCGAGTGGATCCTGCACGGCAAAGCCCCAGGCACGGCACACGCTGGGGGGCAAGACACATCCTGGGGAGCACCCCAACCCGCATCCCGCATCACGTGCACATCCTGACACACGTCCTGGGGGCGCACAGCATGGGCACAGAGCACATCCCAGGGCACACAGCGATGCACAAAGCGCATCCCAGGGTGCACAGCAGGGCACAGGGCGCATCCGGGAGCACAGCCCAGGGTGCATCCCGGGGCGGATCCTGGGGCACGCACTGGGGACATAGGGCTTGTCCCACAGGCACTGGGCACCTCCCAGGCTGCATCCTAGGGCATGTGATGGAGGCACAGGGCGCATCCCGAGGGAGCATCCCAGGGATATGGGGCACACCCTAGGGGCACATCCCGGGGGTGCATCCTTGGGGCACAGGGCTCATCCCAGGGGCATATCCCGAGGACACAGGGTGCATCCCGGGGGTACGGGGCTCATCCCAGGGGCATAGCCCGAGGACACAGGGTGCAT